ACTGTAATCCATATACGCCAGAGGTTGCTCACTTCACATATCGCGCCGCGTTCACGAGAGTTTCTAACATGTCCCCTTTTTTGTTTCAAATTTCCAAGTTGTCCCCAGGATCACCAGGCCGTCAGTACGCCAAGATGTCTGCCACGGAGAGGATCACTCGACGAACGAAAATTCAATATCGAACGCACGTGAGAGGTAAGTCAGGGTAAGTAACTTTTTGACACTTGTGTATAAAATAATTATCACAGTTATTTCTTGTCACCTTTGTACATAGGTAAGCTACTCACTAGGCGCACGCGTTTACACGAATGTTCGCGTCGCCAAAAATAAAATAGTCATTACAATTCACTGACTATGATTTTATAATAGTTTAAGAACAGATTACTCCACGTGCATCCTCCTTTACGGAAGGAGTCGCGAGAATCTACCACCGACTTATACATTATCGGATGTAAAGTAAAATAAGGTCGTAGGTGATCCCTCGCCCGAAGGGAGTCACAGTCTCTACAGACTTTCGAGGCCCACTCTTTTTTTATTTCAAGTGACCTCACCTTTTATAGTCCGCCGGCGATCACCTCCCTTTTTCCTCAGGTGGAACCAATCCGGATCCTCCTAGGTGGTAGCTGCCGCCTGCCAATCATCCTCACGAAGTCGATGATAAAAGGCGCCGGTTGTTATTCGCATCGAAAAGCGTTTCTCGAATGTATTCCATATATGGTATGTGTCGCGGTGAATGTTTAGCCGCGCTCGGTTAAGTATTGACCGAGTTGTTTTTCGGTCGCCTTTTGACAATTTCGCCGACATAGACGTTTGGTTTTATGCCGACGCTCGTTTTTAGAGTATCGCTTTTCGGGATATGACTTGGCACGGAATAATAATAATTAATTTTAATATCACCACTTTTATTTATCACAGACTTGGTCTCTGCGGTGATTGACACAAAAATAAATTCATTTATAATAACACAACTTAAAATTGCACATATTGCTTTTATTGCAAAATAATATCCTTTGGAATAACCCGATTTGTTAATAATTAGTTTAACACGTTTTATCTTACTGTACGGCTTATGTCTAGGTAATATGAATGTATTCTTAATACTAAAAAGTCGTTTCGCGTATCTTAACTATACGCGGAATGAGCGTTACGCTAAACTAATAAATTTTTTGTAATAATAAAAATCAGCGAATAAATAATGTTATAATAACAAATAAAACGTTTAATTATTCGTAATTTGACAGTAAAAACTTAAAATATATCGTAATCTTTGGTATTGTCGTTATCACCGAAGGTCCGCGGCTTCGCTGATTACGGGGCGTTCGCCGCTCGGCTTAGCTCTGTTGTTCTGGTATGCTTTCCGGTTGCTGACCTGCTGCTGCCGGTCGCATTGTTAGGTTGCGCTGGGACTTTGGGGCAATGACTGCGTCATTGCGGGTATACCGTTGGACTTTATCCACCGATATTACCGCGTGGCCGGTTACCCCTGGTGTTGGTGGGGTTGGTTCCTGGATCTCCGTGATACCAGGACCGGCCACGCCGTGTGTGGAACATATGACGGACAGGCGAGCTATCTGGACCGCGGTCGCGATCACACTGACCGCGGTGAACCCCAAAGGCTATCGGAATATCATTCCACCCAAATTGCTTGCAAAATGGGTGTTGCGTGCACCCGTCCAAACTATCGTGAAGGGACTTAAGTCTCTCGCTCACGAGTATAGATCTAAAGCCGTATTGGGTGGGCCTCTGCACTTTGTGCCAGAGGTACCCTTGGTGTTCCAGAAGTGGCTGAAGGGCCACGTCTGTCACGCCACCCAATACGCGCAGCTTGGACGTTTGGGCCGTTTGATGCCCAAGCCTTGGCAGAAGATCACTTCCAAGGCTGTGCACGAGTGGATTCGGGTGAATACCCGAAGGCCTGATGGCCCCATCCACGAACCATCCGTAGATAACGAACGGATGTCGAACGACATATACCGATTCGCCCACGAATTTGCAACTCAACGCAAGGACCGACTCACGACAGAGGTAAACTTTACTCCCTCGGAGTCGGCATCCACTTTCATGACTTCGATGTCTGAAGGTGGCCGACTGAAGGAGATGATGAACGATGCACGAGACCTCATAGGCGAATTCGCCTTTGATGAGACCATTGTTAACTTGGCCGCACGTGAAGGTGGCTACAAGCCACCTCCACGGGCTCAATGTGGCATGCAGCCCGTCTTGGACGAGCTGATTCTGGAGAATCAAATCCAGATGGCGGATTCTAAGGAGTTTTCTCCTAGGGTCATTGGGGTGCCAGAGTATGGCTGGAAGACACGGGTTTTGACCCTGTTTCCCAATTATGCTCTCACCCCAGGGGACCTGATCCGTCAGCAATTGTGGCCACTGGTCTCTGAGGAGGAGTGGCTTGATGCCGATAGGGTGCCCTCCTGGAACTTGTTTAATAACATGTTGTCCAGGAGTTTGGACCGGGTCGGCACTTGGGTCAGTTGCGATCTTTCGAACGCAACGGATTATGTGCCCCATCTGTATTGCAAGGCCCTCTGGGCCGGCATATACGATGCCCTCGGTGTATCGGAGGGATCTTGGGTCCGCAGATATACGGAGAAGATGTTCTCTCCAATGGTGATCGCTGGCACAAAAGGCCGAATCACATTCCGCGGTACGCAAATGGGCACTCCGTTGTCGTTCATGACCCTTTGCCTCCTCCACAGGTTCGCTGTAGTCCGCAGCGGTTTTGAATATTGTCCCCACCTCATACGGGGGGACGACCTCATCGGTTGCTTCCATAAGCCACGAATATACATGGGCATGTTGGAAGAACTTGGCTTTAAGATCAACAAGGCCAAGACGTTCCTCTCTACTATCGGAGGAACTTTTGCCGAGAGAACCTTCCGAGCCGAACGTAAGTTGATAAAGAACGTTCGCCATGGCTATTTCTTTAGCCACCGGAAGGTAACCGCAGGCCAATGGGCCTACACGCGGGCTACACTCCTTCAGGATATTCCCTTGCGAGGCCTGATAAAAGTGGCCACGACCGGTCCCAACAGATACCGGTCGAAGTTGCTTATGCTCTCCGAAATCGTGGAGAACGTAGCCATGGGGTTCCGCCCAAAGAGGCGCGCGTTGATTAGGCGCCTCGCGACCCAAGGCCGTGGTGATATTCTCATCGCGGCTCTCAAGTCCGGCATCCCTCTGAGCCTCCCGCGGGAAGTTGGAGGGGCCGGACTTCCTACCGTTTCGGAGATCCTCCGTGACCGCATCTATATAGATCTTGAGACGCGGCGGCGACTGGGTTGGATGATCAGCCATGTTCCAAAGGGACCACAGCTGGTCGCCAAGCTCAGGAGGCGAGCTTCCGGTGGCCTTATCGGCTTTACGGAACGCTATCTCGAAGGAATAAAGAATATTTCCCTCGGCCTCCGGGTTCCTGTTACAGAACCCGAGCGCACAGCACACTATCTTGCTGCAAAGCGGAGGACCATTCACCTCAAACCATGGGAGGTAGTTCATCGGCCTCCCTGTAGTTTCAGGGAATGGGGTAGGACCTTCCGATCGTTCGGGAAGGTGGGTCCTAGATGGGCATTGGGAGGCGATCGTCTTAGCCTCGTAAGCGACCGGTTGAAGGTCGCTACCGCCTGTATCGTCTATGTTCCCATTTACCAAGGGTTTCGGGGACCCATCCGAAGAATTTCGGATGGAATCTGGACCGAAGACCCTGGGCAAAACGAGGGGTACCGTCATCAACCTTCGGATTGCTCCGCAATGTCGTAACGGCATTGCCCTCTCTGGCAATGGTGTGCCACCTTGAAGTGGTGCCAGAGCTCTCCGTTTCTATGATTTTCGGTGGCAGTACCAAAAGTCCTACTTTTGGGAAGGCCCGGAGTAAGAAGTCGGGATCTAGGAGCACACCAACGGGCAGACTGGGCTCGTAAGCTCTGTGTAGACAGCCGGTCTAGGGAAAAACCAACCCCGAAATCAAATGCTCGAAGAAGGTCACTTCGTTAAAAACCAAAAGAAAATGAATTATAGAAAAAGAAACGGATAAAATTCTACTGTCTCAGGAAGAAGTCACATGGTGCGGAACTTGCGCAATGCGCAACTGTCGGAACGTTCGTGATTGGTCGTGACTTCATTCTGGCGATTCTGTAGTTTTTGTTCTGCAAAAACATATTTTTATGCGGATTCCGTCAATTCCGTAAGTATCCTAACCTAAAAAAGTATGAAAACATGCCAAAAGTTTAAAAGGGAATGGTAAGTCATCATTAAATTAATAATATTTGAATAATGTATAATAAACTATAATGTATAATAATAATAATATTATATAATTCATTGATAATTATTATTATATATATTGTAATTTATCATAGTTTTGTGTGATAATTAAATTTAATAATAATTTAATATTAAATATAGTTTTTAACATACAGAAGTTTGAGGTTATATTTGTTTGCCTATAGGGTCGAAAATGTAGTTATTGTAGGTACTTTCTCCCACAACATTACAATTTATTGGATCATTCGTGTTTTCAATTATTTACCGAAGGTGTGGATACATTGGTAGTGGACGATATTTTTGTAGTCACAGTTAGTAAGTATCGAGAATTTACACTAAATTACGTCAAAAATATTACCTAAATTGGTAGTAATCTTTTTAAAAAAGGTGCTGTTAAAAGAGCACTAGATTTAAGCTGGCAATACGAGAAACACAGCGTTGTACAGAGAGAAAAAGATTCTAGACGTGAGGTGGCAGCAGTGTGATTCGCCGAAGAAAATAAAAGAGTGTGTGTGTGCGTGCACTACGTCGATTGTCGATCCATGGAAAGATCTTACGTATTATGGATATTAAAGTGGCTCGAAGTAAGGAAATAGTTGTAATTCTTCCTCGTTATCCCGGCTATCCTTTCAAAAGTAACATTTTGGCGACCGTGACAGGACAGTGAAAAGAAAAAAAAAAGGGATAATCGCGGGACTGTGCAATAAAAGCAAACGGTGAATATGGAAGCTGCAAAGAAGACACGCACCGTGATGCGAGCGGCATTCACGCGCGCGTTAAACGACTTGGTTCCAAGGATAACGGATGCTAATACAGGAGCCACGGATCTAGCCGAGCTACAGGTATTTCTACAAGTTCTCGAAGACAAGAATAAGACGCTAGAAGAAGCCAATTCGGTCTACATTAAGTGCCTGATAGAGACGGAAAAGGTGACGACAGAAACAATCGACACGGAGATGGCGAGCAACGATGAGTACAAGCGCAAGTATATACGTGCACGAATGGCGGCCATGACACACTTACCGATCGCCGCAAACAATGCCGTAAGTGACCATGCGAATTCGACGGCCCGTAACATGAATTACGCAGGCGCACAGCCTGTGATAAAACTGCCGAAAAGTGAACTTAAAAAATTTGGAGGAGATGTGAAGGAATAGTTACCTTTCTGGTCACAATTTAAGAAGATACACGAGAATGCCAACATTAGCAAAGGAGACAAGTTCCAGTATCTCCTACAGGCGATGACTGCTCAGTCACTTGCAGCTCAGCTAGTGGACAGTTTTCCTCCCGTGGAAGAGAACTATGATGGTGCGATAGCGAGTTTAAAAAATCGTTTCGGTCGAGATGAAGTGCTTGTGGAAGTGTACGTGCGCGAGCTTCTCAAACTAGTTATGCAGAATGTTTTGAAACCGAACGAACGAATACCATTGTCTAGCTTGTATGATAAAATCGAGGCTCAACTAAGATCTCTCGAATCGCTAGGGGTAACGTCTGATAAGTGCGGCGCCATGCTACTCCCACTTGTTGAATCCTCATTACCCGAGGAAGTCCTACGCGCGTGGCAACGTCAGACAGTTCCGGTCATGGCGGATGGAGAGCTAAGAGAGGAACGACTCACACAACTGATCAAATTCTTACGGTCTGAAGTAGAGAATGAGGAGAGAATATCTATCGCAATGAACGGCTTCGATTTGAAGAATAATGAGCACAAAACATCAAAGCACAAACAACGCATGGATCAAGTAAAAGGTACGCCGTCCGCTATAAGCCTACACGCGCAAGAAAAACCGAGTAAACTGTTAGACTGTGTATTCTGTAAAAAGGAGCACGCGAGTGTAAAGTGTGAAAGAGCGCGAAAGATGTCATTAGATGAGAAGAAATCGCTTCTACAACAAAGAAATGCATGTTTCAATTGCCTAAAAATCGGTCATCACAGCCGCATGTGTAGAAGCAATCCAAAGTGCGCGATGTGCAGCAGACGGCACGTAGTGATAATGTGCCCAGATATAAGCAGCGGAAGGGAAACGACAGTGCCAACTAATACACATGAGGTAAAAGAGAAAGTGCTGTCGAACTCTAACCAAACAAGAGAAACGGACGTAATTTTACAGACATTACATGCCAAAATTCGCAATGGCCGGGAAGAACGCGTAGTGCGGTTGTTTTTCGATCAAGGTTCCACTCGATCTTACGCTACTAAAAACATTATCCGGCAAATGAAATATGAACCGATTAGTGAACACAAGCTCAAACACTCGCTTTTCGGCAACGTCACGTCCGAGATCAAGAATCATAAAAGGTATGTGGTTCACATGTGTAGTCTGGATAACAGCTATACATGCAACTTCAAAGTGTTCGACGAAGAGGAAATATGCGCAGAAATTCCTCTGTGGGAGAAACTACCGTGGATGAACGAATTGAAGGAGATAGGTATACAAATCACCGATGGACCAACTAAATGTGATTACGCTGCCCCTATCAAAATTCTCATTGGGGCGGATATAGCCGGAAAACTCATGACCGGTCGTACCAGACAACTTAAGCGTGGATTGACAGCAGTGGAAACGAGTCTCGGCTGAACACTGATGAGCCAGGTTCCGAAGTGTGCAGAGGACGGGCTGGCAGAGCAGGCGATTTCTATGTTTCAGCGTGAAGCCTGTGTATCCGATCTATGGGAACTGGACGCAATTGGCATAGGCGATCCTGTGGTGGAGAAATCTCGCAAGGATTACGATCTAGAGGTTCTACGCCGTTTCAGGGAAACAGTTACTACCAATGCAGAAGGACGATACAAGGTGTGTCTCCCGTGGGTCGAGACACATCCTAGTTTGCCGAACAACAGAGAGCTTGCTGTGAAGCGGCTCAACACGACGACGGCAAAGCTGAAATCGTTCGAGTTGTACAACGAATACAATCAAGTGTTCCATGACTGGCTTGCGGAAGGAATCATCGAGGTGGTGCCAGATATTGAGCTCGACCGGGAAGGGCATTACCTACCACATCGAGGCGTCATTAAAACGGGTAGTACCACTCCGTTAAGGCCGGTATTTGATGCGTCGGCCAAATGTAAGAACTTTCCATCGTTTAATGATTGTCTAGAAAAAGGGCTCAATTTAATCGAGCTTGTTTTCACTATTCTATTACGTTTTCGCGCTCAAAGAATTGGGATAGTAGCTGACATTAAAAAAGCATTCTTGCAAATAAGTTTAACCAAAGAAGATCGAAACTTTCTGAGATTTTTATGGTATGACGAACTCGGAAAAATGATTGTCTATAGACATAGTAGAGTGGTTTTTGGTGTGTCATGCAGTCCTTTTCTTTTAGGAGCTGTGATTAATTATCACTTGATGAAATTGATATCTGATGAGAGATCTAAATCTATGTTTATGAACGCAAATAAGAACCTCAATAAGTTAATGGAAAGTTTCTACGTGGATAACTGCGTAACAAGTTTAAGCTCGATAACCGAAGTCGAGCAATTCATGTATGATGCGAAACGTGCAATGAGTGAAGGAGCATTTGATCTCAGAGGGTGGGAGAGTTTGCATTCAAAGGTAGGAGAGGTAGATATTGCGGTGCTAGGACTTATATGGGGTAAGAACGATGACACGTTGCGTTTAACTGTTCCCCAAACGGAGAACATTATGAATGAAAAGATTACGAAACGAACAATGCTTTCTTACTTGCACCGCATTTTCGATCCTTTAGGATTTGTCTGCCCCGTTATGTCATTCCTAAACTCTTATTGCAACAAACTTGGGTTTCTAAAATTAAATGGGAAAATGAGGTTTGTGATAAAATCCAAAATGAATTTAAGAAATGGCTCAGTAATTTGCCAACAATAAGCCAACTCCGTTTTCCTCGTTGGGCATTTAGTTCACCGATTCAAGATACTAGTATAACGTTTCATGTGTTTTGTGACGCCAGTAAGAAAGCATATGTGCGGTGATTTTTGCGCGTGTGGAAGGTGCTTCTCAGATCAACGTGTCATTTGTCGCGGCAAAAGCCAGAGTGGCTCCAGTTACTCCTATGACGATTCCTTGTCTTGAACTCTTAGCTGCCTGTATGGGCGTTAGACTAGCGTGTTCTACTTTTGATTCGCTTAAGATGACTGATAAGAAAGTAACGTATTGGAGCGACTCTAGCACCGTTGTGTTCTGGATCCAGCGTAATTGCCCCTGGGCGCTATTTGTCGAAAACCGTGTCAAAGAATAAAAATAATGTCTTGCAGCAACAACTGGAAGCACATTCCTGGCGAATTGAATCCGGCGGATCTACCGTCGCGAGGGTGCACAATCGATGCATTATGTAAGACGAATTGATGGAACGGACCGGAGTGTTTAAGAAAGGATGAATCTGAGTGGCCGATTTCAAATGTAGAGTATCATGAAGATGAAATTAAAAATAAAACACGTAAGACAGTGTTACGTATGGCGACTCCACCTAAGGTCACCATACTCTACTCTCTACATTTTTCTACTCTCGTATACACGGTAAATTTTTAAACTTTGTCTTTTTATAATAATTATAAATAAATGATCAGTTAAAACTATAACAATAACGATACCAATAATAAATAAGTATCTCTATTATAAAATAATTACAAAATTGTACTAACTACGTCATAATATTT